TATTTCTAGAAATATTTCACTACACTTCATGCATGCGCTTTGCCGACGCTGTCATCACCGATTACCAGCGCGCCGTGTAAACATTTGTTTCATCTTGTTTCATCACGTTAATATTATTTTATCATCACCATTTGCAGTGACGTTGATCCTGTGTGCACCAATGAGCAGCACTATCGTCTCAGGAGAGTCATGCAGAGACGTGCCCGGCATTCTGGAAGAACCAGGCGAGCAAATCTGTAGGCAATACATTATATGTACCAAGCAAAACAAACATTCAACATATAAGGTATCTCCACACAAGCACACCCGAGCATGTAGACACCATGCTGAATTTGTAAAAAAACAAACTTTAAAAAGCCTACCTACCTACCCAAACTTTTCAGCCTGGGTCGAGTGAGGGCAAACAAAGATTTTTTTAATTGTGGCCTAAACAACTTGTTACATCGCATCGTGCAACGATTCACGAAAGTGACCTATAAGGTACCTACCTCAGAATCAAAGTTATAAGAGTCGTCATACTTCATCTTTGTAATCACAGTGTAAAGCATAGTCTGAAAACAAGTAACACGGTTAGCTGCCCAGCCCCACTCTCTCAAACTGCACTCAGAAACGAGTATAACAAAAATATGTAAACCAAACCGTTTTTAGAACCTAATGGTTTTTTTCAAGTGCTGCAATCTACATGACAAATCTAGCTACGACGAAGAGAGAAAACCGTCCATCTAGCCAAATACGTAACTACGCACATAGACGCTAACTCGTCTCTACTCGTCAAGTATTACCTCTACGTTTTGTCGCCGAGTCTGTGACAGATCCGACGTTGTTCGCGTCTTGAGCAGCGCAACATAATCCGACGCAAACTCACACACCGCAGTTGAGACATCGTCGTCGTCGTTGCCTAGGAAACGCAGCATCAGCGGCACGTACTTCTCGATGGACTGCAGCTGAGCCGGACCTTCGGCCGTCGTTTTCGCTGACTTTGACGTCCTGCGCACAGCGACGAGAAAAAACCCATTGAGCTCACCGAGTCTTTCCGAACATTATGTCGCGTCCGCGCCTCGTGACACAACATCACCAATAACGTAGTAGAAATTTGTAATATATAGTAATGCAATAGTAATAATAATATATAGTATAGTATTTGTAATATGTAATGTTGTTGTTGTTGTTTTCGGTTTCTTTATTTTATACTGGACTCAAGGGTTTAAATCCACATCAGTGGAAACCCACTCCAGGAATCTGGCTCGGTCCAGTTTTGGCAGCTCTCATGCTTGTTCTCCATGTGACACGATCCACAGACAGAAAAACGGATAATAAAACCTTGTGATTTTATTTCAGCGGGTGTAAGTCTACCGTTACAAACATGTTTGAAACGTACTGCAAAACATACACACAGATCGATATACATGTGAAACCGATGCTGGTGAGGAAGCTGATTTGTTTTTTTTCTCCGTAAGATGCTTTGTTTTCAGCTAATAGTATAGAGCTAGTACGAGGCGATTAGGGAGATTTTCTTACTTGTTGAAGCCAAGCAGTAGCTGGTTCCCTGCGGTATTTACAAACGCTGCCAGCTTCACCAAATAATCAGCATCTTCGTCCTGCTCGCAAAGAAAACACATTTTCATTGGTGAAACATCTGACAACTTCTTGCAGCAACGTGGTTCTTCTCTCATCCCAAGAAAAATTTAATTCACCAAAAGGCATGCTATCAGGTGGCGTGGTGGGGGCTGAAAAGAGAGTTAACCAAGGAGGCAAATAACGAGAGAGAGAGAGAGATCAGGAGAGAGCGAGAATAGAACGAACAAGAGAAGAGGAAGGGAGCTGGGAGGACGATGATACAGTGAGAGAGGTGGAGAAGCACGATGTACATAAACATCACCTCGGCAAGGTTGAAAATGCCAGCATTTTCCAGCACAGTCATCAGTGAATCGATCAGCTTCATCTTCGCGCAGGCGTCCATGCCTTTACTAATAATTTCCTTGAAGCAATCAGCAGCACTCTCTCTCAGCATCGGCATCGACATATAACGAACCTGCAAGCAAACACACCCGTGTCATTCTACGGGGGGAAAAAACACCAACTACCTCAGTTGCAGTTACTCAACAACAATACCTGACGACCATTGGTCAGGGGTTCGTTAACGTATGCATGTGTGACAGCATGTGCCGTACCATGGTGGTCGAATAATCTACTACATGTGTCACTGTGATAGATTACAGACGTGCGACACATCCTACACGTGTCATGTGAGGAGTTTGACAGCCGAGCAAAAAGAAGAATTCCTCATCCGCTAAAATGCACAAAACATCAATGTATGATCTAGCCATTCTGCCACACGAATTGAAGGCAATGGAGTCGAAACGTAACAGTTTGCACGGCACCGAATACGGAATACGTACAAACGTTGGGATGAACCTGTCGTTTGCAATCAAGTTGATGTCAATCCACGATATGTAGTGGCCGACTGCTTCCAGACACATACATGTCTGCTCTGGATGTGAGGTTTCATATGTCGTCTGCAACACAACACGGTGGTGTCATATCTTTCCCCATAATTTCAAGGTCGATGAGTAAGATCAGCGAGATGAGGTTATAACAGAACAAATATAGGACACTCACAAGTATTTGGTACCAGGAATCTACCAAGGCCGGCACGCACTGTTCTCGCATAGCATCCTTTATCACAGTATTTCTCTCCACCTCCTGTAATCAATACAAATACATGTCATGTACATTTTTCTCACACAGCCAGGCGTAGCTGTTGCCAATCATTGCTACTCGGGGTAAGGTTACTGCAGCACACCCACAGTCACTACTTAGTCACTACTAAGGCTCTACTCAGTCACTACTGAGTCACTACTCAGTCACTATGCAGTCACTACTGAGTCACTACTGAGTCACTACACAGTCACTACGCAGTCCCTACCCAGTCACTACTCAGTCACTACACAGTCACTACACAGTCACTACTCAGTCACTACTGAGTCACTATGCAGTCACTACACAGTCACTACTGAGTCACTACTGAGTCACTACGCAGTCCCTACCCAGTCACTACACAGTCACTACTCAGTCACTACACAGTCACTACACAGTCACTACACAGTCACTACTCAGTCACTACTCAGTCACTACTCAGTCACTACTCAGTCACTATCCAGTCACTACTCAGTCACTACTCATTCACTACGCAGACCCTAACCAGTCATTACACAGTCACTAGTGAGTCACTACTGAATCACTACTCAGTCACTACACAGTCACTACACAGCCACTACTCAGTCACTACACAGTCACTACACAGTCACTACACAGCCACTACTCAGTCACTACACAGTCACTACACAGCCACTACTCAGTCACTACTCAGTCACTACTCAGTCACTACTCAGTCACTACCCAGTCACTACACAGTCACTACTCAGTCACGGCTTGGCCACGCTCTCGCCGCCCGCGCTCACCTTCATCGTGTGCACGATGTCTCTGTCCACCATCTCGGAGTCGATGGCCATCAGCACGCGCAGGAACAGGTCGACGGCGGGAACGCCAAGGTTCAACGCGCAGATGAGGTCCGTGAAGAACGTCGGCCATTGTCGCGGATAGTCGGCGACGAAGACGAGCGAGAACAGCTGCGCGGCCTTATTACGCAGGAACGTCTTGTCCAGCGATCCACACGCCTGCAGCGAAAACACGGGACAACGTTCTCACCTTTACAATTATTCTACTATATATTTATTACATTTATATAATAAATTTATATTATTATATTTTAATATATTTTCATGTATTAATTTTTTTATTTAATATTTTCATTTATATATTTTTTATTCATAAATAAAGGCTTCAGTGACTACCAGTAACTGCACCAGTTTGGCTTTCGTAATCTAATGATAATCACCAGCCAGTTATTCAATGAACAGACGCGTAAATAAATTGTTGTATGTGCGTTTCGCACAGAAACTACATGGGAGTCGATTGGTACCTAATTTTAATTCAGCACGCATTAAACAATAACGTTGCTCACTTGCATCTGTAAGTAAAGCATGAGCATCTCCTTGACTTTCTGCTGGTGACTAGGAGCAGCCGTAGCATACTTTGTCTTTATGAAGTGCTCCACTACTTGCAGGCAGAAAAAACGCACATGATCACCTCTAAAAAACACAAAGACAAGAGTGTGAATCGCTGATGAACCCCGACAAATTTTCAGCAGCTAATCAATTCATATCGCATAGTGACTCAGCTTCATGTCACAAACTACAAACGCACGTACATCAAATCTGGGGGTGTGTAATGGTGGTTTCTAAATTCTAACCACTCGAGGAACTGAAAGGCTTGCAATTAATACAATCCTGATTGCGAGACGTGCTGTGAAAGATGGTATGATATAGGAAACGAAAGCAATCAGATATTAAATTACAGTATAATGACCCTAACACACATAGCAAGATTAAATTTTGATATTAGCATGTCACAAGTGAAGTATTTTTAAGTCTGCACAGTCAGCAGAGAATGTCATTGCAAAATCATAACAAACCAATTAATGAAGTATACTCACTCAACACCACTAGTATTTAATGTATCAGCACACATTTGCCAACCATTCTCAGATGACTTAAGGTGTTCAAAGTATTCCACTGCCTGTGATTGAAATAAAAGATTCCAAACTAATTAATCTTTAAATGCCATATTATAATATTATGAGAAGAAATGTCTGCACATATACTTCATCTGACATCGTAAGGATCATTCTCCAATGTCCATGAAACTATAACTAAAACAGGTGGAGTAAAAGTCTATCAAATCGAAATTAAATAAATATAAAACACAAATATTTAATTTAATTTCAATCGAATGTCTAATGCATGTTGCAATAAGTTGAATAACTCCAGATGACAAGTAGTATATTATGGCTCTACTTTCTACTAAAAGACGAATAGCAACCCTGAGAAAAAATGACCGATGTTACACCAATTACGCTCATAGGGTCTATGTCCCCCAGGGTACTGCCGGGACATACTATCTGATATGGTTAGGGTTAGGGTTAGGGAGTAGGCGTAGACGACTCCCTAGACTCGTTAGTGGAGTAGGCGAGGTACGGTCCGGCATATTAGATTATAGATAGTAGACGATAGAGGGTATACGTACCAGGGTACGTTCCGGCAGTACCCTGGGGGACATAGACCCTCTCAGCACTAATTACTGTCAATACTGATACACACTGTCGCTATATTCATAATTGAGTTTTGTAAATTGTAGTTCACTAGTTTAGACATTACCCTCCGCTGGGCAGTTGGGTCACTTGATCCTCCAAGACCTTGCAGAGCAACATTATCCATACCGGATGTTGGTGTTCGCTGCGTTTACAACTCTCTGGTAACACAAATACGAAGTATTACCTTGAAGTTGAACCAGACAGCGCAGATATGACTTCCAATTTCTGTATCGGTTTATGTTTTGGCAAACGTTATTAATGTCGACAGGAACTAAGAGGAAATATAGTATAATGGTTATATACAAAATAGTTATAAACAAACCTTTAATATATACTAACACGAAGTTTGTAAAAAATCTATCCCATGTCTACCGTATACACAGAAAAGGCATTTCGTTAGCGCAAGCCACGTTTCATAATATTTGCCATGGTCGCATCCATATTGTATCGGCTACGGCGAGCAATTGCGAGACTGGTAAACTCAAATCTTAAGACAACGCCTATCTTGTCAATAATTAAAAATATTATATACAATAAAAATGTAAATTGATTTTTAAAACAATAAAATATTGTCTAGAAAGTCATATTTACATGTGATTGCCATAAATCTATTTATCGTCTCGCGGTTACAGACACGTGACCTAAACCATCCTCTTCGCTAAAACAGCAATCATGGGGATGAAGGCTCGTGGTGATGTACGGCTTAAACTAAAATACGCTGTAGTATCTTAAGAGATAACGCAACCAAAATTACCTTTTATTGACAATAAAGCTCGTTCTAATATGATGTGTCAATACTTTTGACTCTGTCTGTAGTATTTCAACGTAATTCCGCCACTGTGTTACGTATCTTACGTAGACCTGGTCTTTCACTTCTGCCAGTGCAATGCTACCGCACTGTTACTGAATACTGTAGCGTATCTTGTAAGTTACTGTAGGTGACTTGACGGGTTTGTGCATATGAATTTTAGTTGCGCAGAGAATTTACTTTCTTTTGCTCATGCTCGCGTTCGTTGTCGTGTTAGATAGACGTATGTGTGCACACGACCCTTTGTGGAACTGTTGCTATAGTGCAGTATCTACCAGAAGCTGTGCAGATATGAATTTCTCTTTGTCGCCTTCTCGCAGTAATACAATACTACGTGAAGTGAATCAAAGTAGGGACATTATCCATAAGAAATAGTATGAACTGTGTGCAGACATGTGATAGTTTGGCATTTAGGATGGCGTTTACAGAACGTGCACATTTTGTACAGTAATTCACTCAATGAAGGTTACTGTGATTTAGCTGCTGCAATACACCTAATAACGTATTTTCGAAATTTTTTAGATGAGAGAGTATTCGGTGGTTGGGCGGGAGATGCCCACACCCAAAAAACGAGTGCCCCCGATCTACAAGATGAGGATCTTTGCTCCTAATCATGTGGTCGCCAAGTCACGGTTCTGGTACTTTGGACAGCTTCTGCGTAAGATGAAGAAGACCAGGGGTGAGATCCTTCTGTGCAAGCAGGTAAGCTATACATTGCATTATTGTGAAGTAAAATCGATTATGCCTGACACGTTTTTTCATGGATTTAAGGTAATCTGTCGAGTATTTGTATGTGAGGGCATGATGTCCTCATGGTTACATGTTAACAGGGTTCGAATTTCGGCTGAAAATCTAGTGGACAGCGGGACCACCAACTTCAGAAAGTTGGTGGTCCTGCACAAAAGTTGGTTGTCCGCTTATTTACTACCAGTGAGTAACAAAATGGTAATTACTGTAAACGCTGCATGTCAATTACTGTTACTTGTACCTACATCATCTTTACTGGTATAGCTTATGCTGAGGCGTTGGCATCTATGCATGCATTGCCCGTTAACAATAGTATCAGAGGTAGAAAAAATATAAAATACAATGCGTGTGTGTTCATCGTATATTGCTGTGGTACGTTCTGTCAACTGTAACTCGTAAATTGTCTCTTAATCTAGGTGTTGGAAAAGAAGCCTTTGAAGATTAAGAATTTTGGCATCTGGTTGCGATACGATTCGCGCAGTGGCACACACAACATGTACCGGGAGTATCGCGATCTAACCTCCAGTGGTGCCGTCACACAGTGCTGTGAGTACTCGTACTGCCATTTGTAATGCTGTAATAGTGTTTAGTTTTAAAGGGTAAGTCCTAGAAGAAATTGATGCTTGAGTCTGCAGAGATGCTAAATTAGTAAGCCTGTTGGGTAGAGAAGGAACATTGTTTTCTTCTGTTAAGAGGGTTGTGCTAAGGAATGCAAAACTGCCAAGTGTGATCATCTTTGTCTCTGCTTATATGTAGAGATGTAATGTTAATTGCACACGACCCTTTGTGGAACTGTTATTTTAATGCAGTATCTACCAGAAGCTGTGCAGAAATGAATCTCTCTTTGTCGTCTTCCCGCAGTAAACACAATGCTACGTGAAGTGAATCAAAGTAGGAACAGTTAGTGTCACAGCCAATCTCTGTTCGTGGTTATTTTACATTCGTTTTCTGTTTGGGATGACCTGTATTAGGGTAAAATATAAACGTGCATTTTTTGTGTTGTGCTTGGCTCTCGGGGACGTTTCCTAATTTAGCGTGGAATTTTTCTCGTATTTGCAGACCGTGACATGGGTGCCCGGCATCGTGCTCGCGCCCATTCTATTCAGATCATCAAGATGGCTGAGGTAGCACCGGCCAAGTGCAGGAGGGCGAACATCAAGCAGTTCCATGTAAGTCTTCGTTTATTGCTCATGCTCGCGTGCGTTGTCGTTTTAGGTAGATATAGTTGTGCACACGACCCTTTGTAGGACTGTTGCTATCGTGCAGTGTCTACCAGAAGCTGTGCAGATATGAATTTCTCTTTGTCGCCTTCTCGCAGTAAATACAATACTACGTGAAGTGAATCAAAGTAGAGACATTTTCCATGTTGCCTAGTAAGTGGTCAAGTCTCATTTCTTTACTGACGGAAAGTGCTGTCCCAGCGATTAGACAACTATAAATTTATTGTTTTTTAGCTTGTTTAGCTTGTTATTAGGCGTGCTAGAAGTAATTTTTACTTAGCCAGTATATGTAAAGCAGTAGCTTGCTGCAAACATTACAAAAAGGTTACTGCGTTTGGTAGTTGGTATGTACACTGAACATCACTTACGTGCTGTTACAGGATAGCAAGATCAGGTATCCACTTCCCCACAGACTGCAGAAGCAACAACACAAGCCACGCTTCACTACCAGGCGCCCCCACACGGCATTCTGAGGAATTATTGTTGTATAAAAGTTATGTGACGAAAATAAATACTGTGAGGATGAGAGAATTTGGTGTTTTTCGCATTACTATTTCACGAGGGTAAAACATGTTTCACATGGCTGTCAGAAGCAAAACGCATCCCATTCGCTTGTATGATAGTTACGACACAAGCAATGTAAACACTTACACAAATTAAACGAATGGAGCAGGCATAGTAGTGATTTTACATGTTTTATTTCATAAAAATACGTGCAGCAATATAATACAAGCGTATAGTGCTACAAATGAAATGACCATGAAATGTATACGTTGAAATTGTAAAGGAAATAAAATTATTTAATAACTATTAAACATGTTAAAGCAATCCTGTTGACAAATTCAGAACAACTCGATTCAGTTACTATCAATCTACACACGTTTGTGTCTTGTTGGTTCCAAAACTTTTATAACACAATTTTTTTATAGTAATATTTTGACAATATGAGGTTAACTACAGATAATGTGGAATGTGTGACACTAATTGTACACAAACTAAATACAGGCCAGTGTGTGTACAAACTAGCTCAACATGGTTGCTATACAAGGTGCATGAAAACTATGATGCTAAAGCTACGGTGACCAGTTCAGCAAAATATACAATCCGCCACTCGTGTTATACGTCCAACGCGTGACAAGACGCACCGCAAATCTCACTACATGCGGAAACGCCGTCGTCGTCGCCCCCCTCGCGTCCACATCGGCGAGGTTTTGGTGTAACTTCGCTCCCCGTCGTTGCACCAGGTGGCGCCGCTAGCCCGCGTCCTGCGTGTCGTCGGTCGGCAGGATCGGATCGCCGACGAGAATTCTCTCCTCGATAAACTGCTGCGTGGAGCCGTCCGCAGCGGTGACCTCGTGGAGCACCTGAACCACCTGCGTGCCCGGAAGCACGATCTGACCGAGCTCGTTGATGTATGCGCCCTCTGGTAGTCCCTCCATTGGCTGGCCGTCGGCCGTGATCAGCTGACCGCCCGTCACCACCTGCCCGTCGCCCGTCACCATCTCGCCGTTGGTCGTCACCACCTGTCCGTCGGACGTGATTACCTGTCCACCAGATGTCAGCAGCTGCTCGTCGACCGCAGCTAGAACCTGACCTTCGGCCATTTCACCTTCAGCCGTGACCATCTCACCTTCAGCCGTGACCATCTCACCTTCAGCCGTGACCATTTCACCTTCGGATGTCACCATCTGACTTTCGCCTGTCATCACCTGACCTTCAGTAGCGATCATGTGACCTTCAGCCGTGACCAGCTGACCTTCAGTTGCCACAACTTGACCTTCGGCCGTGACCATCTGACCTTCAGTTGCCACAACTTGACCTTCGGCCGTGACCATCTGACCTTCAGTTGCCACAACTTGACCTTCGGCCGTGACCATCTGACCTTCGGCTGTCATCACCTGGCCTTCCTGTGTCACTATGTGACCTTCAGCCGTGACCAATTGACCTTCGGCTGTCACCACTTGACCTTCGGCTGTCACCACGTGACCTTCGGATGTCACCATTTGACCTTCAGCCATGACCATCTGACCTTCAATCGGTTGACCGGCACCCTCGGTGAACTCCTGCGCGGTTTCTGTGGCAAACACCGGTTGCCCGTTGTCCGCTATGTACTGCATGTCCCCGTGTCCATCCGTGAGCTGTTGCATGGCCGTAATGCCCTCGGCGGCAGCGAGCTCGAGACCCGGCGGCAGCGACGCGGCGATGCGTGCTGCCTCGGCCTGCGCCGGCGTCAGCGCCGTCCACGTGCCCTCCGCGTTCTGCATCATCGCGATCCCGGCGTCGCCGCTCCCCGGAGTCACGTACTCGATGCCGCCCGCTTCCGCGCTCATCACGGGCGTGTACTCGTGCTCCATCGCGTCCTCTTCCTCGTCCTCCCCCTCCTCAACGACTCCCTCTTGCATTTCGTCTGTCTCTGCTGCTCCCAGGACGTCGGCTTGTTCCTGCGATGGAAACAAGTTCGAGGATGAGCGATCGCTACCACCGTGGCTAAACCAGTGCGACACGTACCAAGTTTAAAGAATGCGTTAGCAAAGATGAAGAAGATCTTACAACAATCTGTTTCACGTTAATAACACACGATATTTCAGGTCATTCGACGTCTCTCGGAAAACCCTCGACGCATTTCCATGTGCAAACTAAGCAAATTTAAACCGCGGCAGGTTTGCCTCTGGCTAAGCAAAAACCTAAGATTCTCGCACACTCCGTGGCTACGCACCTGCTTTGGTTCGATGGCGACCTCTTGACCTGCGATGGGCTCTTGCTCCTCCTGCTGCACATCCTGAAGCACGAGTGTCTTTGTGACGGGTATGCGATACATCTTCTGTCCGTCGCCTGCGCGCGCAAAGAAAGCAAGATTAGAAGAAGACGTGTCGACGGCGCTACGTGCGTGGCGTCGCCGCCCGCTCACCCTGAAGCTCGTAAGCACGCTGCCCCACTACACATGCTTATTCGTTTGAGTGGCGCAAAACATTTGCACGTACAATGTAAATATCGCACGGGGGCTTACGAATCATTATTAGTGAATAAACTTGTGACATTACTGACTGAACAAACAAGGTGAATGAGTGGATGAACATACTATTAGGTGAACGATGAACTAAGCAGTGGCGTGAACGATGAGCAACGTAATGAGAAGAACGATGAATGAGCTGATAGAGTGAACAACGGGTGAAGCGATGGAGTGAATGATGAATGAGCTGATAGAGTGAACAACGGGTGAAGCGATGGAGTGAATGATGAATGAGCTGATAGAGTGAACAACGGGTGAAGCGATGGAGTGAATGATGAATGAAGTGAT